CCAGTTGTCATTGGGATAGTCTGGTCAAGTGTAATGAGCACCGTGGAGTGGAACAAAAAAGAGGAGCTTGTAGCAGAGCAAGCCATCAAGCACTTGAAGGTATTAGAACTGTGCCTGACAAACTGTTCTGCTTTTTAAGTGGGGATAAGTGAACTCTCACTGTTCTTTTCTAAGAGGATATATCACATCTTTGGTTCCTGGGGATGACCCTCCAGTAAGTAGACAAGTAACATTAACTACTCATAACACTTTAACTACTCATAACACTTTTAAGTCTGATTTATTTGTTTTTTATCACAGGTTAAAAAACAAGAAAACATTTAAAAGTAATTTAAGCCTGCAATTTGATGTTTGTTTTTGAGAGAATATAGGAAAACACCCCCCACCCATATTAACTGTTCAATAGTTGCCTGAAATGCTTACAGAATTATTTGATTTTGATGCTTAGTAGGTTTATGGGGGTTTGTTTTGCTTTAATATTCTTGCTTTTAATTCCAATAAATATATTTCACAGTGATTTTAAAATATGGATTGTGTTCTGTGTTGTAAGAGTTTTATAATGGTTGGTTATTGTATTGAATGACTAAATATTCTCTTCCTTTAAAAGCAATACAGCCCTCTACTTGCTGCCTTTACTACTCAAGGTCAGTCTGAGCTGACTCTGTTACTGAAGATTCAGGAGTATTGTTATGACAACATTCATTTCATGAAAGCCTTCCAGAAAATAGTGGTGCTTTTTTATAAAGGTAATATAAATTTTGAATGTTTTGAATGTTTTTTTTAAGTTCTTGAACTAGAGGAGCCAGGTGTGATGGCACATGCCTGTGATTCCATCTCTCAGGAGGCCAAGGCAGGAGGATCACAAGTTTGATTCCAGCCAAACTTCACAAGATCCTGTTTCAAAATGAAAAGGAGGATTGGAGGGTGGCAAGTCCTTGAATAGTCCATTGCTTTCAAATGAGTATCTGAACTTGGGCTCCTTGAACTGTTTTACTTCTAGGCATCTTTGATTAAGTTGGGTGCTTTTTAGAATATTTCTATCAGAATATCTCCCTGTTCACAAGTTAAAATCCAAAGCCATTGTGAACACCACATCAAATTCCCCCAGGTCGAGGCTGGGGATGTGGCTCAAGCGAGCGTGCTAGATCCTCAGCACCACATACAAAGAAAGATGTTGTATCCACCGAAAACTATAAATAAATAAATAAATAGATAGATAAATAAATAAATATTTAAAAAAAATTTTTCCCTGGTCCCTTCTCCAGACATACTTCCTACCTCTAGTCTTCTGCCTATGGGAAGCCTGTCACTCAATGTTGATTTTCATTTGTGCTTTAAGACTGGTTTAGAATGCTTCTGTAACTCCCCTATTGCAGTTTTTGCTTCTTTCCTGAGATCTGAGTTGTAGAAACATGCTGTAAATTTAGTAGTAAATACAGGCCTCTTTTGGGAGAGAACCCATGCAGGCAGTTAATTTATTAGTGGTGATAGCACTTTACAGTTCCCCATTTATCAGAGTAGCCTGAATCCCAGTAGCTGTAGATGGTGTGTACATGTGTTCTCTCTCTAGTTTTCAATGATGATCTTTTTAGTTCTGTGTATTCTAAACTTAAGAACAGGAATCAACCCTGGTCTCTAAAAAATGTTTAAAAGGAAAGTATGGAAAATGGGTAGTACCTATGCTTCAGTGATTGTCATCTTGTATTTAGGTTTATTGAAAGCATTTATTCAAATCCCTACAGTTTGGGTAGTTTCATACATGAACAGCAAGTTGAGAAAAGTCTTTTAAAAATAATGATCCTTTCATCTTTTTAACTTTTCTTGAAATTGTGAAGAAACCAGTGTTTTGAATAGATTTGTCTTATAACCAAAAATAATGTTTTTACTTTCTGTAAATGTTGTTGCCAAGCAGGCATTGATAGTTGATAATTTTGAACCACCTTAGGTAGTTTCTCATGTGGAGAAATACATTAAAACTCCTAATGTAATGATTTATTGCTCTCTATAGCTGAAGTCCTGAGTGAAGAGCCGATTCTGAAGTGGTATAAAGATGCACATGTTGCAAAGGGGAAAAGTGTCTTCCTTGAACAAATGAAAAAGTTTGTTGAATGGCTCAAAAATGCTGAAGAAGGTAAGTCTTTCCCTTTGTGCAGATGGTTTGGAAACTGATTTTAATATTTAGGCTATATGTCCACATTTGCATTCTTCTCATTCTCTTGCTGCTTTGTACCTAGGGAGTACATACCTTGTTTACTTATGACAAACTTGCAAATAGTCATTGATTTAAGCCAGTTGGGGAAATTAGGCTATAATTATTAAAGTATTTTGATGGCATAGCTATAATACTAAAGATTCTTAGAAGGGATATTGATTTTTTGTTTGGTACTGAGGATTAAACCCATGGGTGCTGTACCACTGAGCTACATACATTCCCCCGTCCTTTTTTTTTTTTTTTTTCATTTTGAGATGGGTTCTTGCTGAGCTGCTGAGGTTGGCCTCAAACTTGGAATCCTCCCTGCCTCAGCCTCCTGAGGAGCTGAAATCACAGGTGTATATCATCATGCCTGGCAGGAAATTGATAATTTTGAGAATATTTATTTGAATGAATACTTTTTAATGTCTTCATATAAGTAAGATATTACTAGTGGAATTCTTCTTTATAATTTTAAGTGTTTTAAAGTAGAAAATGGGAAATTTTGCTTTCTGACATAAAATGTTTGACTACATTTTCCCCCTTTCTAGAATCGGAGTCTGAAGCTGAAGAAGGTGACTGAATTTTGAAACTACATCCTCAGTAAAGCAAACAGGAGTTGTAGATAAAATGTCATGTCTCATGTGTCCTGGTTCTTACATCTTCCTACCTCCCTATATCAAGCATGATATAAGGGCTTTCATGGCAAATTTTATTTTAACTGTTTCTATGGTTACTGGAAATGTTGGGTTTAGTTTCTAAAACCATGTTTTAAGTAGCTACAGGAGCTATAGATTTGAATCTAATGTTGCATTAGTCTTTTCAGTTATCTTCTACCTCCTGTATTTTCTACTGTAATAATGTAATTTAAGGCCTTCCACAATGAACAGTTCACTTTATTCCCTGGGTTTTCTATATATAAACAGTTTTCAAGATATGATTTGGTTAAAAATAATTTGTTATAAAAATTCTGTTTGCAAATTAAACTGTAAAAGTATCCAAAGTCTCAAAAGGCAATGGTTTGTGTGATAATTTGGTATGCCTAGAGCCCTATTCATTAATGAAAGTCTCTTACACAGTAATTGAACGCATTAACATGATCCTGAGTATTTGGACCATTGCTTGCATGTTAACATTTACTTGTATTTTTAATCCCAGATGTCCTTAAGTTCAATTGTTTGCTCTCTGTCTTTCATCATTAGTGAAGCTATGGAGAACAAACTTGAAGTTTGAGGAATCTCATGTCAGAGATGGTGGGAAGAAGAAAATTGAGCTTTTTCCCATTGAGAAACTTCTGCATTTAGTTTGTATCTTTCTAGGCAAAACAAATGGGTACTCTTTTTCATATGAACATTTTCAAATGTACCATAGAAGTCTTATTTTGGGCTCAGAATACCCTTAGTTTGATATGAAAGGACTTCTAAAAAAGTGTGAATAGAGGAAATGACTGTTATAGACCCCATAAAATTGTTGAGTCAGCATGTTCTAATTGGGGATCTGAATTTAACTTATATTTCCTTTTGGCTTAGAGCATTTATTCCAAAGAATGAAGTACAATAATTGTATATTCTCACTTGGTCGTACTGGACTGGCTTCATTCTCTTAGTGCATTCAGTAATGACTCAAGCATCTGGCTATTAATATACCCTAGTTGCCAACTCTTAATTGCCATGAGCCAAATATTTCTTCTATGTGATTAATCCATTTATTTTAATGGCTGCCTTTTAATTTTTCATCTTTTTATTTTCTTGCTGCTGCCCATCCATGTATGTAGTCATTAAGGGGAAAATATTACAACATTTTTGGGTGGAAAGGCATTGTGTTATAAGTGAATGTTTTGAAGGATTTTTTAATTGAAAGAAACTAGCCTGGAATAATGCCACCAGAGATTGAGTGGAAATTACCCCTTTTGAAGGTGCCATTCTTATTAGCCAAGAAGTTGGTATTTAAACATTCATCTTGAGGGAATAACGTGTAATATATAATTTGAAATAAAGTTATAGTGACCTTAAGAAGAGCATTATAACAGATAACATTGTGGGAATGGGGTGATTTTGTTAAATGAATAACTTGGATAAAGTTTTCATGTGCAGGCAAAATGTATTCACTAGATTTCTACATAGTGATCTGCTTTTACTTTGTAATTTGTAGTCCGCAAAATACTTTTTTTTTTTTTAAATAAAGTCCATCCTTACACTTAGGTTTTATAGATTAGCCTTTTTCTTTGTTTATAAATTTCATTTTAATACCTAGTAGTATACTGTATGTTGTGTGTTTAGATGTCTTTGCTGTATAAGCATTAAATAATTCCTCCTTTCATCCTTAAAACTCCCAAATTGTAAACACCTACACAGAATTATGATGTAGCTGAAACTACATTGACATTTTTACGACCAAATCATTGCATGTTATTGCCGTACAAAGTGTACCCTGTTCTATTATATACTGTGTATAGTGAAACAGTGTGTAGTCTTCCAGAACTACATTTTGATCTTTGATCATAGTTTTTTTTCTTCATAATGACACAGTAGTGTTTAATTACTACAGTATTTAGTAAATGGATAAGTCATCTGTGAGTATGATATGAAGAAAGGGAATGCTTTATAAAACAATTGCAGATTTTCATTTTGAATTTTAAAACTCAGCTGCCAGTGCCAACCTATGGCCTCAAATATGTAATTCTTAATAAAGATGTTAAACTTGTACTTTTAATTTTATGATTGGATAAATGTTAAGTTGATTTTCCTAGTTTGGTGTCAGTTTCTAAGCATAAGTTTCCACTTGGATGCTATAATTAAATGTGTGTTTAGAGCTGATAAATTTCTTAGTCTTCCTCTAGGATTATTGTCCTAGAAATTCTTTTTGTTCCCATAAATATTCATTCCAGATACCAAAATGGCCACGGGGTTTTTTAACATGATTATGATGGTGGTGAGGGAAAAATGCACATTTAAGAGATTAACCTCTGGTTCAGTGTTTCTTCTGCGTTTCCCCCAAGAAATTTATTTTTTTCCTAGTAGCATCCCCAATAAATTTTAATATCATAGATACATTGTGTATGTACTGTGTCTGTGCTTTATATATGAAAGGAGTAAGACTTTTTGGTTCCCCCTTGGGGTAAAGTCACCTCCATAGAGAATGTACACTTATATACCTTATTAAAAAAGGAGAGAAAGCTGGGTACAGTAGCTTATGCCTGTAATCCCAGGTACTTGGGAGGCTGAGTCAGGAGGAATGAAAGCTGGACAATTTAGACTGTCTCAGAAATTGGGATTGGATATTGCTCAGTGGCCAAGGCTTACCTAGTGTGTGTGAAGCACCAGTTTGATTTCTAGTGCTGTGGGTGGGGTGTTGGTTTTTTTTTAAAAGAGGAGTCCTAATGATATGTGTTTATGCATGTCCTTGGTGAGAAGCAATATATATATATATTTTTTTTTTCCTGTCAGTATCACTAGAAAATGAAAGGAATTCCCATAAGTCATCTTTCAACAGTTTCCTTTGTACCTTAGCCCATCATAGGCACCAGGCAAGGCATTTCCTATTGGCTTTTGGAGATTCTTACTTGGTTGTAAATGTATCAATAAATAGAATCATTTGGACTTCTAATATGTAAAAATGTTTGAAAATCTTACAGATGATTGATTTATCTCAAGGTTGTAGGGACAGTGCTAATGAATTTTTACTGTTCACTGAAGTAGGCTGCTTATACAAAATAACGCACCACCACTGTGGGTTGACTTCAAATATAGATGACAACATTGGCATATGTATATTAGACTATAAAATTTACTTTGTAAAAATTTTCCTCGGTTGCTATTCACAGTTGCCATGTAAAGTAGATTAATAAGCATTTCTGTAAGAAATCTGTTAAATTGCCTTACCATGATTTTTTTAATATGTAATATTAGTCCTTTAGTATCAATATGAGGTATTTCTATTCACCAGCCTACTGAGGCCTAAAGATTTAAAATATTGGGAATAAAAAGGGTTTTCAGTAGGCTTGATTTTAAATGGAAACTGAAATCTGATAAGTACTTTTGTCTTGACTTTTGTCTTAGAAGTTGAATTCCAGTGGATTATAATCTGAACACAAACTTAGAATATAATTGAAAACTGGATGAGAAAAGCTTCCCAACTCTTCTCCCCACCCTATCCCTATTTAACTATGGGCAGTTTAGGAATCTGGCAAATCAGCCATTTTCATTCTCCAGTGCACTTATTAATGAAGTGAAAGAATGAGAGCACTTTACAAATGTACTTAAATCACTGTCACTTTAGTCCCTCTTAATCAGAAATTTAAAGCTCCACTGATGTATTATCTAGATGAGAGTGGTAAAAAGCTGCAGATTCCTTGCTTTTGTAGACTGCTCAGAGACCCATTTGTAAAACAATCAAAAGTTGTGTGTGTGTGTGTAATATATATATCACACATACATACACAGGTTAGTGGCAGAGTACTTCCCTAACATACACAAGGCCCTCGGTTTGATCCCTAAAACTACAAAGAAAAAAATAATGAGCTAGGAGCCAATTCAAGCTAAAATATTAAGGAGAAAAGAATTGAAGGGACAAAAATTGTTTAAACTATTTCTTAAAATATTGAAGATTGTGCTTAAAATTAAGTTCACTTAAATAAACTGGAAATAAGTGACCTGGTTATAGACTGAAGCTTTTATTACTTAAAAAGACGTTCTACATTCTATTTTAAGGATAAAATATTTTCTCTGTAAATACACCTCATTTCTATTCTAGTTAGGCATAATGGAGCCGGGCACAGCAAACAGTTGAAGAATGGAGGAAACTGGATAGCTGGTAACCCAGATAGCTCTTGGCACTCTGAACAACCTCAAGTACAGCCATCTAAGCCAGTGATATTGCTGCATTCATTATTTGTGTTTAACTGTGAAACTTGCATCTTGTCTGTACTCTTGAAATTGAATAAAATTTCATGAGACTCCTTATTAATGTAGAGAAAAGCAATGACTGTTCAGTTGGTTGTACACTAAAGCCTCAGACCTTGACCTTATTTCATGGTTTAATTAGGAACCAAAGGGTTTTCTCAGACATGCTTTTCTTCTGGACGGCACCTTTGCCTTTGTATGGCTTACATATTTCAAACTTGTGTGTGGTGGTATATACCTATAATCCCAGCAATTTTGGGAGGCTAAGACAGAATTACAAGTTTGAGGCCAGCCTGGCAAGAACCTGTCTCAAAAATAACTGGGGGTGCAGCTCAGTAGTAAAGGGCCTCTAGGTTCAATCCAAAGACCCCAGCCAGTGTTTGATTTTCAAAGATACCAATTCCATTTATTCTCTCCAGAGTAGGCTGTAGGTCCCTATCAGCCCACATGTCTAGTAGATCAAACTGTCCACTCCAGCTCCAAAAATAACCTATCAAATACTGTCACCTTAATTCAAGCCACCAGTATCTTAAATGGAGAAGTGACCTCTGCATACACTTCGTACACCTCATCTGTTAGCACAGTAGCTAGAACATTCTTTAAGTGTAGTTCAGAAGCTTGACTTCCCCTAGAAAGCCCTACATGATCACTTCAGTTGAATCTGCCTTTCCCTCTTACTATATGCCCAATATTCCTAATGTCTGTGGAAAGTTATGAACTCTACCTAACAAACTGTATAAGGAGGAATATCAATGTCCATCATACAAGGCTGGATTCCTAGTGGATAAAATACGTAAGGCCCAGGAGAACATTAAGTGTAAGCACAGTGGCCTCATCACTCCAGCAGCCTTGGGACACTTCTGGTTGTTCTAAGCATAGGACAGACACTTCACCAGGGTCCACAGTAAGGATTCCACTAAACCTAAAGCTACAATTGCTGCCTGATTATTTAGGGCTTTTTTTTTTTTTTTTTTTTTTAAAGGTTGGCCACCAGCCAAATAAAGGTGTCAGTATAAAAGCAGCAAAATTGGCCTGGTTATTATGAAAGAGGGTTTGCAGGACAAGGCAGGATATTCAGGGCTTTGGGGTCTCCCTTGGGCATTTCTTAGGATAACAGTTTCTTAACTATTAAAAGTGGATAATTATCACACTCATCACCTTACAAGGGCATAGTAAGCAGTGACTCAATTTCCCCACAAGGGATGAAGAATCCTGGCACAATGGTGCATGCCTATAATCCCAGCCACTTGGGAAGCTGAGGTGGAAGGATCATGAGTTCAAATCTAGCCTCAGCAACTTAGCAAGGCCCTATCTCTAATAAAATATTTTAAAAGGGCTGGGGATGTGGCTCAGTGGTTAATTGCCCCTGGGTTCAATCCCTGGCACCAAAAGGGGTGGGGGATGAAGATGTTGATACTATGAGGAAAACAAATTTCTATTAATAATTCTAATTTCCACCTGTGTGGGGTTTTCCCAAACTCAGTTCTCTGGGTGTTGTCATGGCCACAGCCCAATTATGCCAGGTCAGTGTGGTAGGTTGTTGGAAAGCCAAAGTGCCTGGACACAGGGAGACATGACATTGAGGCAGATCAGTGACTTCCAACAAGAGTTCAGTAGCAACAGGCTGAGCAGATGGCACCTTCAACCTTCATGGTGTTTCACCAAGCACTGCCTCCTCTCATGGTGTTAGTTGGGTAGTGGCCAGCTAGATACCCTTTTTCACAGTGCCCTCCATTCCACATCAGGCCCCAAAGAAAGGTTTTACATTAGGCTGCAGAAGCAGTGACTTCATCAGCATTAGCTTGCTTGTATGACCAACATTCCAAGGAGTAACTGTCCAGATGTACATGCAGTGAAACAACTTTCTTCAGATAACACTAACTTGCTCTGGTTTTCAGCATGTACAAAAGAAAGCCAGTGTCTTTTCAAGGTAATATGTATCTGCCATGTGGTGACACAGAGCATAGCTGTAATCACAGCCATTTGGAGGCTGAGGCAGTAGGATCACAATTTCAAGGTCAATCTGGGTAATTTAGTGAGACCAATCTCTAGTATTTGCATACGTATCTAGACTTTCTGGCCTAGGTTTGCTCTCATTTTCCCTTTGGCTAGGGTTTTTTTGGCAAAAAAAAAAAAAAAAAAAGAGGGGGGGGCACTCAGGGACATTTTTTTCCCCCTTTTAACTTATTGTCCTGTCCCCCTCTTTAGAATTGAGACAGGTGTTCTAAAACTCAAAATACAATCCTTATACTACCTGGAGTTAGCATCAGATCTCCACAGGTTAAGGATTCAGTCTCACAAGACTCAGTCCCCACTCAAATGACAATCACACATCTTTGTTGTTTTGGGTTTATGTGTGATTGATAGTCATCAAATCCCCTTATATGTATGCCAGGCAAGTGCCCTACCACTGATATATCCAGCAGTTTTTAAATTGTATTATGAGAAGGTCCCAAACTACATTGCCTAGGCTGGCCTCCAACTTGAGGTCTTCCTATCTCAGCCTCCCAAACACCTGGATTACAGGTCTGCACCACCAACACTACCTGGTGTCTGGTTATTTATTTAGTGGTGTTGGGGATTGAACCCAGGGCCTTATGCATGCAAGGCAAGCACTCTACCAACTGAGCTACATTCCTAGTCCTTTCTCAGATTATTTTTTAACTGACCAGTTACATGTCATTTATTGGCTTATAGTTCTCATGTCTCCCTCTTCAAGTCTGATAATTTTGTAGAGCAGCACACAGGATTCAGGAAAATAGTTTACTTACTAGATAGCCAAGTGTGATGACACATACCCACAATCCCAGTGGCTCCAGAGGCTGGGGCAAAATTCAAAGCCAGCATCAGCATCTCAGCCAGGATTATCTCTAAAAGGACTGGGGATGTGACTCAGTGGTTAAGCACCCCTAGGTTCAATCTGCTGTACAAAACAAAAACAACACAACAACAACAAAAAAACCCTAAACAAAGGAGATGCTCAAATGATGAGATGGAAGAACTACATAGAGCAAGGTCACATGGAAGGGACATGATTCATTCAATAACTGGCCATTGGTAAGTCAATCCCAACCCCTTCTTATATATAACCTCAGAGATGGGGAAGTGGTGCGAAATTTCCACCCTCTTACATGGGTGGGTTTCCTGGTAAATAGCTCCTATACTGATAGGCTTAAGTCACCCTTACACTAACATAAAACTCAGGTGTGGTTCAAAGGTGCTTGTGATGAACAAAAAATGCTTCTTTCACCTGTTATCTACCTTATTCCTCTTCACCTAGGAAATCTAAAGGGTCCAGTACCTGGCACAGAACTAGAGACAGACCAAATAAATCTTTTTGTCATTGTAATGCAATACCACAGTATCCCATTAGGGACAAGCATTCTAGACCAGCAGGGTGCGAATATTAGCCTCCAACCATTTACATCAGGAGGGATGTTCCACCTCAATGTATTCATCTTCTTGTTTGTGGTACTTGGGGTGCTCTATCACCAAGCTACACTCCCAGGCCATTTTGGGACAAGCTATTGGTAAACAGCATTATGTATAAGATCTTGGGATATGCAAGATTGAAATGCCTCTGATATCATGACTTTACCTTCTAGAAAAGTATAAACAAGTAGAGGAAAGTATGTAGTGTTATGCACTTGAAATATTCATCAAAGGCTCACATCAAAGTCATTTCTTGGCTTGGTGCTTACTGGATGGTGATAGAACCTTTTAGAGGCAGGGCCCAGTAGGGCTAAGCTCTCAAAAGGATTCTAAGGCAGGGTGATGGTGCATGTCTATAATTATAAGGCCAATTTCAGCAACTTGAACCCGTCTCAAAACTTAAAAGGGCAGGCAGGAGATGTAGGTGAGCAGTAAGGTTCCCATACCCCCCCCCCCAAAAAAATTAAGTTTCTTTGAGGGGGTGGGAGTGGGTAAAGGGTTTGGGATTGGGCACAGGGCCTTGCACTTTAGGCAACTACCCAATCCCCCACCTTTTTTTCACAATACCTTTAATTTTTTATGTGGTTCTGAGGATTGCACCCAGTGCCTCACACAGGCAAGGTAAGCACTGTAGTGCTGAGCCACAACCCCAGGCCCTCCAATCATCTCTTTTTAACATTGAGACAGGGTTTCGGTTAGCCAGGTTAGCCTTAAATTTGCAATCTTCCTTCTTCATCCTAAGTAGCTAAAAGCTAGGATTACAGCTGTGTAGTACCACTGCCCAGTTCCAACTGTTTTTCACATAAAATAATTTATACTTATGATAGAGACATAAAGAAAAGCATAGAAATGTTCTATGGCTGAGGATATGTCAGTGTGATAGTGCTTGATTAATATGCAAGGCCCTGGATTTGATCGCTAGTACCACATGAACACACATGGATCAAGTATAAATAAAACCATAGACAAAATTCTGCTGTATTATAGTTACTTGATAATTCAGAGACCTGGCTGCAAAGGATCCTCGGGTTTCTTCTGTAATTCATTATTAGTACTGAAGGAAGTCAAGGGTCTGAAGTTATTTGTGAAATCCTAAACTTGAACATGAAGGGAGAATGAACCCTCTTGGGTAATCAATGTGCCCTTTAATTTTGTTTCATATGTAGTAAGAAAAGGATGGCCTAAGTTCCAATTTTTACAACCCATAAAAATGAAAATAAAGCTAAGTATTTCCAAAGACTCAAGAAGAGAAATATTCATTCTTTAAAGTGACAAAGGTAGGAAGAAAAACAGTGCTAATAACAAACTCTATAGATTCATGTGAATTTCATTAGCAGTTTATTCTGAATAAATCACTTTATAATTACTGGAAAATGTTACTTTACTTAGCTATGTAATTAACAAATCAAATTATCGAAACAAAATGTCAATACAAAAAACTTAAGAAATTTACAAAGCTGTACAAAATAATTTAATAAACTAGACTGATACAGTCTGTAAGATCTCTTTGAGAGAGAGATAAATTCATGTACTTTTTTTAAGTGGGTAAAAGAATGGGTGTTTTAAGGCTTCTTTGAGAGTAATTCTTTTGGCTGGATCATACTCCAACATTTTATGAATAAGGTCAA